CCAAATTTTGGGAATCTGTTGAAAACTTCTTCTGCAGTGACTTCAATGTCATGATGCGTGTGATGCAACGGCAGGCTGATCAATCTATCTTGAAGCATGTACATACGTCCTCAGCCACGTTATCATGCGGCGAAGTGTCGAAAAGAGCGTTCAGAGCTCTCATTACTCATAGGAAGTGTGCAGAATATGCGAAGAAAACTACAAATTATGGGGTATAGGTCGATATCGCAGTTCTTCAACGTTTCCCATGCAGTAGTCGGTAACTTGTTGTCTTTTGACTGTTGCTAGTGATCAAGTTCACCTTTGAGCTTCAAACGTCGCACGACGTTGTCTATCAAGCAGTCAATAACTTTCTTACTTCTTTAGAAAAGCGCGTCTTCAAATCTTCGCCGATTGTATCCAACAGAGAAATGTACACTTGGACGTTGTAGTATTCTTTGTAAGTTCTCACGCAGAAGTTTTCGTGCTTTGTTTGTCGGCCACAGATTCTTAGTTTTTTTCGTCAATTTTCAGTTCTGGCGCCATTTTTTTTGTGTCTGTATAAGTGTTATCTTATCTATCATATTTGATTCTTTTGCCAGATCGACCAATTCTTTCTGAAGAATCACGCTGAGTGAATGAGTAGAATACCACATAGCCGAAAAATGCCCATTATACTACTACCACTACAAATTGAGAGGTGAATTGGTAAAAAATTTTTTCTGTATGTTGGTATTCATTAGTATTTGAAATACTCGTCGTTTCAGGAGGTTCTAAAAGTGAATTCTTAGATTATTTGTGATCATTTCGCCACATTTTCAACTAATATCGTGCCACAACCATCGCATTCACCTGATTTACCTACGTGTAAATTTTGATTATTCAGCAAATTCTCATGACCGGTCCACTGTTTCGACTCAATTGTGGATATAAAAGCTGAATCGATGAAAGCTCAAAATGGTCAAAACGCTCGATGTACAATTGTCTTAGCTGTCAGCTGTTGGCTTTCCCTAATTTCCCCCCTGTGAATCCGCCATTGGATAAATCAATAACGAAATATACAAAAAAACAAAATTACATACGCGATGGTACGATAGGGCTTTATAGTAGCCGATGTCAAATTTTGGGTGATGTTTTTAGTACCACCAAGAACATTACCCAAAATATGGCCATTAATATCGTAGAGAAATGTTTTATCAACTACATGTGGAGTATGTGTGTGTGTGCACACATAATCTGTCATTTACACTTCTCTTCTCAATTGTCGTTTAAGTAAAATGTTTACATTTGGCAAATTGTTCCCATTTAATTGCAAGAAAAATGCAAGCATTCACGAATCCCTCCTCATACAATGCAACTTGTCAAAATATTCCATGAGCTTATATGAATTTGAACAAAATTTCTGAAGAAATTTGGTTTTTTTCTCTCTATTTGCAGAACGAAAAACTTCGAAGAGCATAATCAAACATTGATGAAGGAAATTGAAAGCGCAAATATAGAATTGGCAACATTGCGCGAAGAATGCAATGAACACAAGTTCGAGAAGAAAGCACTCAAAGAGGAAATGGGCACAGTCAATACGGTGCGTAGAAGAATTTTTTTTATATGTGTGTGTGCGTATGTACGCGTTTAGCTGCTTTTGTATGTAACTATGCGCGAATATGGTAAACGTTCGTAAGCGGATTTCAAGTCAATTGTTAACTTGGAAATTGTTTGCTTTGTGTCTTCACTCACACAATTACAATGTGCATCGTCATGTGAGTGTGTTTAAATATCACATATGTATGTACATATGTATGCACACAAATGTGGTATGTGAGTATGCTCATGTTTTCATTGGTAAAAAGTTTTGGTAAACCGGAATGACAGGAAGCGTTGATGCATTCCTGCATTTCTAGCAGAATATTTCCAAGTGTCGAAATTTCACTTGAAAGTCATTGAGTTGATTGAATTTGCTTAAAATCATATTTGGATAGAGGGTGCGTAAGTGTTTGTAACAATTAAAATGTAATAAATTCTCATTTTATTTCTTTGAGTATTTATTAGAAATTAAAAAAGTATTTCCAGAAAAGAATGATAAAAATCGGCAGTAATTTAGCTCTCTTACTTTTATGAAAACTGTTTCTGAATATAGTTTTTTCAACAAATAAATTTTCCCCGAATTGTCCTTTTTGACCATTAGACCAATAATGCGTTTTAATCCCATTCTAAGCCTCACTGAATTTCCTTACTTATTCATGCTGCGAATTTTTGAGTTGAGGGAACAAAAAATAGTCATAAGGAAACAAGATTCTTCTGACACCTGTAAATTAGCCTATATTAGAATTTCCGATCGTGAGATCACACTTAGAGAACTACTTCATTATGCAAAGAAATTCCTAAGGACAGAAAAAATCTTGCAGTTACCCAAAATTCATTGAGTTAACGTGAGAACGCATATCGACTAATATCGAGGGACGATGGTATATGATCCCCAACTTTACAGTTGTCAGCCACATTTAGATCAGAAAACCATTTGCGCTTTAATAACAAATGGAGCGTTACTTTTACAAAAAGTGCTTTCGCGAAGAACTCAAACGTTTTAGCACAAGTACGTTGAGTGTCAAATTTAAATCATTACTGAAAACACTGCATTTTTTCGGTCGAATTTGGTCAGAAAGAGACGGAGGTGTCTGACGACTTGGAAAATATTCAAAGTAATTGAGGCTTTAGTCTTTAAAATATAGCGAGACAAGATTATCAAATAAAGGAAAGTGCGCCGAATGTTTAGCTAAATAGGTATTTATTAAATGATCTCATCTGGCGAAACAGTAATTATACTCTGAACAGGGTACATTAAGCTTATAACGAAGTTTGTAAAGAATAAAACTCCGGAGATTCCGAATCAAGTGGTTTACTCGGACAACTGACTAACATCTTCTTCCTTGTTAAGTAACCTTAAATCTATTTAAAGGCTATTTATAAAATTGACTGGATGTAAACCATTGAACAATTATGCTCTCAGATTTAGTTTTACATATATAATATATACATGTACTTCCTATAAGAAATGAACCTGGGTATTATAGTTTCGATGCAGCTTGTTCATTTTAATTTTAAAAAAATAAATGGTAATTCAGAGTCAAAGATAGAATCTTAATTCTAGAATCTTATGAAAAATTAAAATAAAGTTACATCTTGCTAGTTTTTGTAGTAATTCTTGCAAAACTGGTCTTATTTCTAGTTCATATCTTACTTTGCTTCAGTTAAGACCTGCGTCTCCAGTTTGCCAAGATCACAACGCATTTCATATCCGTTTTAATTCTTTGAAATTCATTTTAAATTTCGTACCAAATAAATGGTGCCAACCTGTATTACGTAGCAATCTATTGGCAATGATGAAGTGAAAATATTTTTCCTTAATTACAAAAGGCCTGCACATATTCCCACAGCCAGCATGATAACAGGAGGAGTGAACACACTATTCGATTAAAATCGCACACACACTTACGCTTGTCTTATGTTGCTTGTATTTGCTGTTGCAACCAATTAATCACACTTTTCTACATTTGCAGCTCTTTAGCCAGATGGTGATGGGCTTCAATGGCGAGAATAACTTGGATATTGATCGACTGACGACAATGTTAGAGGAGAACCGCGGCTTGCTCAACGACATGGCAACCAAGGAAGCAAATTGCACCGATGGCGCAACGTTGCCAAAATTATTATTCGAATTAGTTGAAGAGGCGGGAATGACTGGCAAGTCCGTTGAGGACAATCGTAGCCCAACGCCTACGTCAATTGTTAACACCAGCGCTGACGAGGAAGAATACAAACTGCATAGAGATACACCCGACCATGGTGCACGTCATGAAAGTGAAGAAATGGCGTCCGCTGACACCGCGCAACTGGACGCTGCAGCGGCAGCCGACCGCGACAATACCAACTGTAAGACTGAAAAAGCTGGCACTGCTGTTGCCACAGCCACTGCCACTGCAGCCGCTTGGTGCGGTAGAAAACATCATCGTAAAAGTGCCGGCAACCGGATGAAATTACCAGCAGCCACTGCCGCAACAGACTGCACTGCAACGGCAACTGCTGCATTGAAAACCCATGAACCAGAAGTTATGAGTAAAGTTGCAACGACACAAGAAATTATTGGTAACTTGCCGAAAGTTTGGAAAGTGCTAATGGAGCTCTTAAGTCACCACAAAATCGAGCGGGTGCAATTTGAGGAGCATGGCGCCAGCGAGGATTGCTACAAATCCGTTGAGACGGCCAATGGACCAAAGGCGGAACTGAGCGTCAGCAAGACATATATTAAGTTAAAGGTGAGTGTAATGCGCGTGCCACACTTTGGCTGTATAACGAACGTCTTGTGTTGGACTGTGAATTCCTGAGTTTGGGCATGACGCGTCAGTCAAGCTTGTTAGCAGGCACTTCCGCTTAGTAAATGCTGTGGCGCAACGCTGTGAAGCTATGTAAAGTGGCCGTTGCACTTAACGACGTGTTGCGCTCAACTTTGAACATTTTTCACTTAAACAGTTTTATGGACCCCCTTCAAAGTTGCACTTTTCAGGTTGATTATTTTTGTCAGGCTTGAGTAAATTCAAATGCTCTCTTTTCATTACAAGAAGACTTTAGTCCATTTTGCGCATGCTGTGATAGCACTTAAATGAATTGACGATAACATGCGGTTGAATACTCAAAAGGCACTTTATAAAAGTTGATGAAGTTGTTAAGTAGACGTTTGGTACTTTTAATAGATCACTTAATGTTTAAATGCAGCCAAGAGCAGGTCGTAAATTTTATGAAATGACATGTGACAATATACCGTGAGTTAATCAAACACGCAGAGCGGGAGTTTTCTTTGACGTGATCTCGATAATAAGAAATAATATATTAAATTAGAATAAAGTTAGATTAAAATATTAATAATACATTTATATATCTCTAAATTATAGGAATTTGAAGTGAATTCCCGACTTCCGTATTTTCTTGAAGTAATTAAATTATCCTAATGAACTTTCAAACTGACTATTTAAACGTTAACGTAAGAGCAGCTTATGATCAAACTGAGTCGTGATAATTATATCAATTTTCAATTCCCCCACCTAATTGTACTCGTACTATATGGTCATGGCGTTATTTGTTAGAAAATTATCGTCTTCTTAGCATTTTCGAGCAATACCCTGCAGTATTGTGAGTCCCCCATTTCCCATAGCAGTGTAATATGATCAAATAGAAGGTTTTCATTGAGTTAGGTTACGATTGTTTACGTGGAGAAAAGGTCTAAGATTATTATATTATTTCGTGTTTCAAATATACATAATTCAAATATTATACGAACCGAAACCGGAACATTTGTCAAGTACGAGGGAAAGGTAAAAAAATATAATATTTAATTTTAGTACCGAGCCAACTTTGATAATATTAGGTATACGGGATTTTGGTAAGGTGTAAATAAAATTAATCTGTTTTTGGTACTAAAAAAATAACTGATCCATTTAGTTCCTTTTATTATTAGGGACTGTTGGTAATAAAAAAATACCAATTTCGGCCAATTTTATATGGGATTTGCCATAAATGTCGCGCAGTTTCGATATTACATTTTATTTTAATACCTTTGTTGGATTTTGAGTTATCTACTGTTAACCGATTTTTAACTTGATATTTAAGTGACCAACTTTTTAATATCGTTTTTTTTATGCTTTTTGCTTGCCAACGATAGGATCTGATATTGGAGAAAAAATCCTTGGTCAAAGAAACGAATCGCTTGAAAACCTTAAATTGCCATCTTGAATATCGATTGAACGAGCAAGAGAAGCGCTTAAGTGCCGTTAGTTTGGAGTTGACAAAAACTTGGCATTTAGTTGGCAAAATGCAACGTCAACATCGTCAGCTGCACACACAAGAGCAAATATTGCGGTATCAATTGCAGCAAAAGCGGCGCTTACTAACCGAACTGAAAGACGAGTTGGAGTATTGTCGGCGCAAATGGGCGGCCGCACGTGCCAAAAACGATGAGAGTCAAGAGCAGTGGAATGATTTACGACGCGAATTTGCATTACGAAAACTAGAGCATGCCAGCAATTCAGCCGAAAGCGGCTACAGTGACTCAGGTCAGGCTTCGGATGAGGAAATAGTAGTCGCAGCGCCTACAAATTTAACCTCTGACGTTGAGACGACAACTTCAAATGGTGCAGGTGGAGGTGGTGGCTGCGTTGGTGGAGTTGGAGGAGCGGCTGCAGCATGTAGGCGTAAACGTTTGAAGGAAATGTTCGAACATTCGCGCAAGATAAAGCGCATGCAAAGCACTTCGCCCGGACGTGCAGGTGATGGTAGCGCTGAGATAGTGTTACGCTGGAATAGTGCGCCACCAACCTGTGGTTGGCGTGACAGCAGTGAGGCCAATCCAGGCATGGCCGACGTGTACTGCGATGAAGATAATAATGCTAGCGGAGGTGATAGTGAGTTTGCCGGTGCAGTCGATTTGACAGGTGTATCCGCAGCCAGTCGCGGCGCTATACCAAAGAATATTGTTGTACGCAATAGACACCAGAGCAGAAGAGATGCTGTGGACGGGGAGGGAACTGACGTAGTCGACGTGGGTGGCTCGCGAGGAGAACGAGCCGAACGTATACAAAGGCTGGAGGAACAGTGTAAAACGTTGATCAAGCGTGTACTTGAGACATCTGATAATCGTGAGCGGTTAGAAGTGCAGCTGCGTAGTTTTCAGGATGAGATCGCACCGGTGCAATATGCGGTGCCACTGAGTGATTTCTTTAAAAAGAAACGTATTGAACGTATGACTCGCGCAAGTTCTGTCCCTGTTACTGGTACTCTTACGCCGAGAGAAGAAGAATATACGCGTAAGCGCTCAGAACGATTAGGTCGTTTGGAGGAAGAGAGCCGCCAGCTGTTGTCACGCATTAAACGTACGTCCGATCGGGGCCATTATCTGCGTTGTTCTTTGGATCGTTTGCGACGTGGACCCAGTCGTGAGGGAAGTTTCGAAAGTAATACGGAGGAAGAATCTAGCAAAATTGAAGAAAAACCAACATCTTCTAAGCTGAAAATGTTACAAGAAGACAAGCAAATGGATGATGCAAAAACTAAGGCCCAAGAAGCGAATGAAATAGAAGAGCCCGAACCACAGATAAATCTGAACCCCTTGACAGAGAATGAAGAAGCTTACACGGCCCGACGTTCGGCGCGTCTACAACGTTTGGAAAATGAGAGCAAAGAATTATTAAATAGACTCTCGCGCAATAATGAACGTGGTCAGCAATTAGGCAATAAGTTAGATGCATTGCATGAACATCACTTCGATGTGCATACGAAGCTGGTGGAGGAAGCTCCAGTAAATATATCATTACCACCTGCAGTTCCGAAGGTTAGTATTGAGCAACGTTTAGGAAATATCGAACAAATATCATCCAATCGTATGGAACGTCTACGCATTCTCGAGGAAGAGGGCAAAGAGTTGCTTGATCGATTAGCTGGCACGTCGGCGCGTGGTACGGAGATGATCAATCGCATAGCTGCGCGTGAGCAAAATCGCCAAGCAACTGCAATGGAAATGGCTGATAGCGAAATACCGGTTACCCCCACCACAGATAAAGTGTCCGATCCCGAAGATGAGTTTGCGGCGGGTATGGAGGCATCAGCGGTAGCATCCGTCTTGCCTACGTTCAATAATGTCGCATGTTCTAGTATTGTGTCGGAGGAGTTGACGGATCGCGTTACAGTTATTACAACACCCAGTCAAATTGCTGCGAAACGGGGCGCTATTCCAAAGCAACCGCGTACGAAACCTGCCGGCTTGGTGTTGAATGCTGAAATACGCGCCAAGGCTGCGAACAATAAAGAGCAGAAACAAAAACAAAACAAACAGACAGATGGTGAAAGTTTGGAGGATATGGTAAGGCGTCTTCAGCAAACGCCATATCCGGAGGAACAAAGCGTTGTGAATGAAAGCGTTGATAAACTAGAAAAAGAAGAAAACGGTGCGAGCGACATCAAAGAAGATGGAACTGAAAAAGAAAATCCCAACCAATGTGGAACCACGGATTAAAATTCAGAATTAAGTAAATAATCGTATATTTCGATCTTTATGAACTATTACTCCAAATAATTTGTACTTGATAATTGTAATGAAAGACTTATTTTTCGTGTTCATATATATGTTTATATATTTTTCTTAACAAAGAGATTAATTTTTATGCATCTTATTATACCAGTGTATTTTGTGAATGGTTAATTTCATACTCATGACTCATTAATATATAATATATAGAATTTTATCTTTCTTAGGCAATGTCATTATAAACTTTTGGAATGGCTGCGAGCCGCGAGTAACAAATGTGAGACCATTTAGTCTAAAGGAAGGAAAGTTGTTTATTACTTATCGATATGGGTCCAGTAAAGTCCATAACGTTGGCGCTCTGTTTTGGATAACGGTTCAATATATAACATATTTCAGAACAAACTACTATTGACTATTCTATGACATTGAATATTTTATTTAGCACAGTACAAATTATACATACAATATCGTTGTATGTGGCCAGGCGTTGTCCTGATGCAAATAATTCATTCGATATTATCCTAAGCCAACCAATTCTGGACTATGACTTCTTTTAGATGGTCCGGTTGTTGACACTAATGGTCCGAATTAGGGGGTCAGTAGGGTAATCTGGCTTGTTTTTTTGACTTTTTTTTTAGTCCGATCGGAATCATGTCCGCGAGTTTAAGAAAGTGTGTTTTGAGAAAAACGCGTTTATAGTTTGAGATGTGCACTCCGAATGTCGAGAGGTATTATTATGTTTGGGCATTCGTCTACCCTACTGACCCCTTAAGAGTTTGGCGTCGGCAGCAGGTGATAGATGACAGATAGACTACGACGGTTTTTGCTTGACGTTGGCCTAGTTGACCCACTATTCATAATCAGTGACAATCCGGTTCAGAAATGGATGGATTTTGCTGCGATTTCCAAATGAAAACTCAGTCCATGACATTTTTTTCTTTAACTATTGTGTCACCCATGAGAATTAGTGCCTGTATTATCATACCAATGATATTTTATACCACCAAAAAAAATTGATATTTTCACTTGAGATTTTTTGTTTGAAAATTAAGAATATTTCTGGATATTAGGTCAATACAAGGATAAATAATAAATATTTTAAACAAAAAGCAATACAGTATGTTTGGGACATAAGGAGGTAACTTCTTTAAAATTTCGTGAAAGAAATTGTTTTTGTACAAGATGAAAATGAAACACCAAAAGATTTAGTTATTTGGATATTGTGTGAAAAAGTATATGTACAGAAGTTATATAGTAGGTCTTTTCATTTCCTAAAACTTTGCTGTATCACTTTCTTCTATAGGACTCATAATTTCGACGAAAATCGGGTTAAACCATTCTTAACCCTTAAAAATTCAGCCAATCCTTCCTTTTCCCTACCACAGTTCGTTCTTAATGTATGCTATGTTTGTAATGCTTATCTTTCATTTCCGATGGCTTTCAATCTGCTACGAATTTATTTTTTGTTTATCCTGGCCTAATTTACATTTTCAAAAAATTCTTTGAAACGAATTTAATTGTTTTTCGATAGGTTCATACAATATTGTTAAAACATAATTATCTCCTAAGTCCTCTATAAAGTAAAAACATGTAAATACGGAATTTCGAAAATTTTACCCAAAGAAGAATGCTTCCCTATCTTTTTGGAATTATTAAGTCATACAGACATAAGAGGACTAAAGAACCGCTAGATATGTTTTTAGTAGTATTTGATGCTATCGAAGACATTAAGAAAATTTAATTCCACAGTGCAAAAACTGTCAAGCTTTTGGACATACAAAAAACTTCTGTGGTAAGCTATCGAGGTGTGTGAAATGTGGAGGCAAATATCATCAAATACCGTATTTGTGTAAAGTTTTATTCCCCCATCATCATTGATTCCTAATGTATATATTATACAGAGAAGGCATCAGATGGAATTAAAAATAGCATTATATTGGAAGAAGGCGTGGTTGTGAACCGATTTCACCCATATTTCGTACATGTCATCAGGGTGTTAAGAAACTATTATGTGCTGAATTTCATTGAAATCGGTAGAGTAGTTCCTGAGACATGGTTTTTGGTCCATAAGTGGGCGACGCCACGCCCATTTTCAATTTTTAAAGAAAGCCTGGATGCAGCTTCTTTCTGATATTTCCTCCGTAAAATTTAGTGTTTTAGACGTTTTTTGTTAGTCGGTTAACGCACTTTTAGTGATTTTCAACATAACCTTTGTATGGGCGGTGGACGTGGTTATTATCCGATTTCTTCCATTTTTGAACTGTATATAGAAATGACTGAAACAACTCTGTAGAGTTTGGTTGATATAGCTATAGTAGTTTCCGATATATGTACAAACAACTTAGTATGGGGCGGGGCCAGGCCAATTTACCAAAAAAAATTACGTCCAAATATGCTTCTCTCTAATGCCACCCTTTGTGCCACTTCACTTTAATATCTTTATTTATGGCTTAGTTATGACACTTTATAGGTTTTCGGTTTTCGCCATTTTGTGGGCTTGGCAGTGGGCCGATTTTGCCCATCTTCGAAATTAACCTTCTTATGGAGCCAGAAAATACGTGTACCAACTTTCATCATGATATCTCAATTCTACTCAAGTTACAGCTTGCACGTACGGACGGACGGACGGACAGAGAGACATCCGGATTTCAACTCTACTCGTCACCCTGATCACTTTGGTATGTATAACCCTATATCTGACTCTTTTTGTTTTAGGACTTACAAACAACCGTTATATGAACAAAACTATAATACTCTCTTTAGCAACTTTGTTGCGACAGTATAAAAAACTATTATGTCCTTTAATCAGCGGCTTAACGCTCTTGAGTACCATCTACAATTTATTGATGAACAGTGACTCATTGAGAATAATGGTCTTTCCAAAAGTAAAAATGAATTAGAAGTTATTCTACACGACAGATATTAATATATGTACATATGTCTATTATCTGAAACGCATTTCACGATCCATTCATTTTAAAAATTTAAAAATTATGAATTATGTCACACACCACACCCGGCAAACTCAGCACGAGGAGGGAGTGCTATAATTATCAAAAGCAATATTGAACACTGCGAGGAAGATCCGATTAAGACGGAAGAAATTCAAGCTACAACAATTTCAGTTAACACAATCACCTATTGTATCTTATTGCTCAATATAGTCCACCTAGACATAACATAAAAATAGAAGAATAGGAAGGTACTTTATTGGCGGCGACTTTAACGCAAAACATACTCATTAGGTTTCTCGTTTAACTACAACAAAAGATCGAGAACTTCTTAAAGCTATACAAGCAGTTGGAGCAATTTTGTTTTTACAGGAAGACCCACTTATTGGCCTACAGATAGACAGAAATTGCCAGACCTTCTTGACTTCTTTATAGTTAAAAAACTACCGAATGTCAATTTATGTATTAAAGATTGCTCAGACCTAAGTTCTGACCTTTCCCCAGTGATACTAACTCTGTATGAAAAGCAATTTATTTCTACCGCCAAGCCAACGTTATGTAATAAACACGCTATGTAATTGGTATAAATTTAAAAGTATAGTGAATAAAGTCGACCCAAAGCTTAAGCACATATTGACTGGTTTTAAGTTGGACTGTGAGAAACTAAGACAATTTGTCTTCTAAAAATTTTTCGTTCAAAACTTATCTTTTTAAACTCACAGCTGATAAGTCCACCGACTATTCACTCTGGAAAGCTGCAAGAAATATTAATAAACAAATAAAACATGTACAACCATTAAAGATAAATGAAACTACATGGGCCAAAACGAATGAACAGAAAGCTGCCGTATTTGCAAATCATTTGAGAAGCACATTTACGCCTAACGATGGGTATGAGATAAACTGGGAAAACAATTGGTTGGATCCACACATCAATATTTCTCCAGTTACTATTAAAGAAATTAAAAATCTTATCGGGAACATAATACTCAAAAAAGCACCTGGGTACGATTTAATAATTGTAGAAATATTACGCAATTTACCAAAGAATTGTATAAAAAACTTGTAAACATTATAAACAGTGTTTTATGCCTAAAATACTTGTCATCGCTTGGGAAAGTATATGAAGTCATAATAATACCTAAGCCGGGTAAGCCAGTACACGATGTTACATCATATAGACCAATTTCGCTGGTGCCAGCTTTATCTAAAATCTTTAAGAACGTACTCATAATAGGCTCAAACCAATAATCGCTCATAAACACCTAATACCAACACATCAATTTGGCTTCCGGGATCACCATTCAACAATTGACCAGGTACAAGGAATCGTTAATTTTGTTGAAAATACAATCGATAAAGAGAACGTTTATACGGCGGCCTTTTTCGACGTGTTTCAAGCTTTGGACAAAGTCAGGCATACGGGTTTACTGTTCAAATTGAAATACATGCTACCCAAACAATTTTGCTTCATACCTGAAAGATAGATACTTCCGCATTAAAGAAGAGGATGCATATTCAAACTTGCAACCGATAGAAGCGGGTGTTCCCCAGGGAAGCGTGTTGGGGCCAATGCTTAATTTGCTTTTTCTGATTCTAGTTATATGACAACGACATTTGCAGATGACAAAGCTTTGTTAGCAGCTGGAGATACAACTTCAGTATCTAGTCGACCAGTGCAAATAGCACTCAACGAAATTACTAAGTAGGCATCTAAGTGGCGCATAAAATTAAACGACACCAAATCAATTCCTGTCGACTTTACCTTGAAAAAGCCTTGTCCAATTTATATAAATAACATTCCTATACCACATCATAACAGTGCTAAGTACCTAGGTATCACCTTAGATGCTAAGCTACGCTGGAAAGACCATGTCGAAGAAAAAGGAGCTTGATATGATGAAATTTGGCAGGCAGGAAATCTACGCTATCAATTCAAAACAAACTGTTATTATATAATCAAGTTCTAAAGCCAGTTTGGGCCTTCCTAGCCAGTTTGGTCTACGAAGTTAGGTACAATGTAAAATAATAATAAAAAAAAAAAAAAACATTTACCTGCTTCAAATACTAAATTGCTTCTCCTGTGCTTCTTTGATCTGACGCACTGATTGTTTGTTTTGTTTTTCCGCCCCATGATACTGGTGGTAGCTTGTCAGCAACGTACACTATATGGGAATGTTTAACTAACAGATAATGTACTGTATGAATTTAAAATGCACATTCGGCCTGCAAAAATGCCCTGATTAGCATGCAACACACGATAGACAATTTTGTAGATAAACTTCATTATATCCCACACAGGGTTTTTATTCCACATTTTAATTTCAACCATCCCAAGGGAGCGTCAAATTAGAATTATAACAGCTTATGCGAAATTCATGTTTGTAACCTGCAGCTCATTAGCATAACCTATGGATGCTCCTTGCAAACATGTTAAATTTTGTTTCTCATTCCTTTTTTCAGAAATGAAAATTGGTTCAGAACAATAGAAGATTTTTTCACAAAATTTGTAGATTTTTGTGCTCTTCTCCTCGTCGAACTCATAGATCAAGAATAATTGTCCAAAGCTTTGAAAAGTTGATTTGCGTTTTTCAAACTGCCTTTGTAAATCACAAATATAGTATAAGTGTTAAGAAATGGTACATAAATTAAGATTCTGCAGTAATCTTCAATACCTTTAGTTCCAGCATTGCGTCGATATGTCTGATGACCCCATTTAAGTGACTTCTTCATTTTAATGTCTAACTGAACCAATTGTCAATTATATGAAGGCAGGGATCTCCATTCTCCCGCTTCACCTAAAATTCATTCAGGGGAACAATTGATAACTTTGTGACTTCTCTTAATTATCTGGCTGGCAACTTGAAATTCTATCGTCAAAATTGTTTTCAAAAGTTGAGAAGTCTTTTGTGCAGTGTCACGTTCTATCCCTGGTTTTATTATCCCAAATGTTTTAACACCTAATACTAATTCTGATTAATTGCTGTTCGAACTTCATCATTTTCCATTACCCGTCCATTCCATCGTCATCGATTGGGGAATCAGGTTCACTCCTGTTATTATGCTTTCACTGCCATTCAGCATTCTGGGCATCAGTCACTAGATCACCTCTGGGATTCTACAAGAGTATATATTCGTTTAATTGCCCATATGTTAAACTTATCAAAACCAGTTGATGCTGGAAGTTGCATCACGACAACGCTCCGGCTCACACAAAGTTTTTTGAGAACAACTACATAACCAAGGCCGACATCCCAACGCTCCCACAGCCGCCCTACAGCCCAGATGTAGCCACCGGACTTTTTTTGTTTCCTTGCCTGAAAAGCTCGATGAGGACAAGCATTTTGTGATAAAGCAGAATGCACTTCGGATTTCAAGGCTATTCCGGAGAATACCTTCCGTGACGCCTTCAAGGCTTGGAAATCGCGTTGGCAGCACTGTATCGACGCAAAAGGAGTCTATTTTGAAAGCTTTTAAAGAATTATAACGATTGGTTCAATAAATTTTTCTAAATCGGCTCAGTCCTATTACTTTCCCAACAAAAATTGTAACCTTGATTTTTGACCCGCTTTGAAGTGGTTCTTTGGGCCTCGCGTCACTTTTGCCACGATATTCGGCAGATTTATCGTCTGTTTCCTGGTCGTAAGCATAGATCCAAGACTTATCGCTAGTAATAATACGTCTCATGATTCTGGTATTCGGAGAGCTTTGTTTCACAGATGTTAATGCGACGTTGTTTCCTTTAAAAAATTGAGTGATTTTGAAGCCACTCGTGCTTTCACTTTTGTTATATTATCCTTAACTGTTATTTTAAAATAGTTTTCACTGATCCCTCCAATATTCCAACGATCCCAGTAGGATCTCTGACTGATAATCGATTCTCAAGCACCAATTCCTTTAGTTTGTTGACGTGATCATCAGTTGATGTTGTCCTGACCGTGGTTCATCGTCCACGCGTCACACATATTGACTATGTTTGAATAATTTGCCCTTTATATGCTTCAGAAAGACAATCGTATATTAAACACTAATGACTATTTTGATGTGACATTTGGCACAGATATCAGGGACAGTCATACCAATTTAGAAAAAAAAATCGACGAATGAGCTTTCGTGCGAAATTTAAATTCAAAGATCTCAGTATGGCTTGCCCATAGTAGCATGTTCATTTGTATATGCATATAATTTAATATGTATGGTGCTTGCATGTTTAAAGCGCTGCTTAATTTTTAACCCAATAAAAGTCAACATGAATTCTTATGATTAAGATGTTCCTCTGATGATTTTACATAAATTCATATTAAATTTGCGTTGCTTCATGCCAGAAACTCAATCACTAATAAAAAGTGTGGTGAAACTTTTACGGCAATGCGTTGATTTTCCCTATTTTGTGTGGAATTTTCAGCGAAATTACAGCAACACGCTCTCTCCTCGTTGCCTGAAAATTTTGTTTGAGTTTTGGCTTGGTGTAGGTTGCGGTACACTCTAGGCCGAATTTAAAGAGAACGAGGTGAGGTAAACTCTACCGTATGGTGTCCTAACACAGCTCAACACAATTCAGCAATGATGCTGAATATAGTACGTGTAGGAGAGTACAGAACATTTTGCGGCACCATCATATTTACATAATTTTCATTCGTTGAGTTGAGCTGAAAATTTGGTAAAACTTTTGATTTTACCCGCCTGCCTGCTTGCCATTTGTTGTTGCTAACAGTTGTTGTCTTTTATCTACTGACATTGTTGCTGCAGCTGCTTGATCTTTTTATCAACAAAATGAAAACGTTACGAAAAATTGCATCTGCATATAATTTATACATTCCATAAGCTTCGCTGATGCGCACAGTCAAGTTACGTAACGTTCGGGAACACATGCACACGCATACAATACACATATATAACGGGTGATTTTTTAAGAGCTTGATAACTTTTTTAAAAAAAAAAACGCATAAAATTTGCAAAATCTCATCGGTTCTTTATTTGAAACGTTAGATTGGTTCATGACATTTACTTTTTGAAGATAATTTCATTTAAATGTTGACCGCGGCTGCGTCTTAGGTGGTCCATTCGGAAAGTCCANTTCGAGCATTTCGGCCGGAATAGCCCGAATTTCTTCGGAAATGTTGTCTTCCAAAGCTGGAATAGTTGCTGGCTTATTTCTGTAGACTTTAGGCTTGACGTAGCCCCACAAAAAATAGTCTAAAGGCGTTAAATCGCATGATCTTGGTGGCCAACTTACGGGTCCATTTCTTGAGATGAATTGTTCTCCGAAATATATTAATATAAATTTATATTGCATAAATAAACGCTATTATACGTACCGTTAGTTACATCAACTTCGATGTCGCATATACGTACATACATCCACTTTCATCAATATTAAGTTTTAAAAATTCTTTCCTTTATATTTAAAGCGATGTTTTTTTTTGTTTTTGAGTGAAAATATACCTTTCGAGTGGCGAAGAATCAATAACGGTTATCCAACATTTCTATACCAGTTGGATAGTGTAAGCATCGACACCTTCAAAATGGATCTTTGCTTTCATCTAGATCTCCTCTATTGAGTATAATCTTTTTCAACGAGTCACTTTTTGCCGGGGTTGGTGGGTGTGGAACTAGTTTATTGAGTGATTTTCGTTGTACGGATATCACAACCTTTTTCATGTTTTCCTTTTTGACCGATGTTTAAAAATGTGCCATGCAATGTAAAAATTAAACAATGACTCGATCTTTTGATGATATTAACTCATTTAATTTCAGTTTACCGTTACCAATCAAAATTCCAGCATTTGTAGCTTTTGTATTTAGTCGTGGAATAAGTATGCTGGAACATATGTATAGTATTTACCTAAACACTTATCAATCCATTGCTTCGCATCAACAGCGTTTTTATAACAGAAAACTAGGCTCTGTATGCCAAACTCAAGCCCTTTGTCTAACAAATATATAGTACACAAAAAGTGTCACTTTTTAAGGATACTTAATTAATAGACTTTTATTGAGCATTATTTTGATTTTCGGTCATAGGATATAGAAAGCAATGATAAAAGTGGTCCGTTGGTCAGTTGAGACGCGGTTTCCGTGGACTTTGCACAAAAAGTGGCACTTTTTAAGTATACTTAATTAATAGACTTTTATTGAGCATTATTTGGATTCTCGGTCATAGATATAGAAAGCAATGATAAAAGTGGTCAGTTGGTCAGTTTTTGACGCGGGTTCCTTGGTATTTGCTATTCACATGTAACGGGAATTAAAACAAAATGGGCTAAAAAATAATTTCGGATTAATGCTGGAAAGACTCAATGCATTAGAGCATAATTTGTGATCATATGTAACACTAATTAGCGCCAGGAGACTGAAATATGGTTGTCTGTAGTACTAGATTCTAGCACAAGAAAACTCATCAGGCTTCTTTGCTGTCTCCGGTAAAATGAGAGGTTGTCATAGCTTACCAACTGATAATAACTTTGAAAGAATTCTGGAAACTGCAGCTTATAAGCCCCCTTTTATTTGAACTTGATTCCGACTCATTAAAGCATATTCATAACATTACTTCCAATACCATCTAATTCTAAATACCATCTTGGATTCTTGGAGCTATGCTCCTTTATTGAGTTTCACTACAGAACTAAAATGTACAATTAATTATACTTAACTCTAGACCTATGTTTGCCGCTGCAACGGGTATAAAGCTGCTGACACTGCGCTTCCCATAGGTTGGCACTTCGCTGACGCTGCGCTTCCCACAGGTTGCCACTACACGTGTCGCACTCCCAGCGATTTAGTGGTGTCATATTGCATTACTTTGTATCAGATGATATTAATGCATCATATGATACTTTTTGAATGTATGGGGTGCTAACTTATATCATTGCTATCTCAGATTGCTCCCTCATCGCAGCAATTCGTATCCTAGGGCTTTTGTTATATTAAAACAGTAACGAAAACAACCTTTGATTCCTGATCACTACAACAATTGAAACATTACGTCAAATTTATGGAAGGTAAATCCCATACATCCTAGCTAAACACCATTGCAGTAAATAAATGTTGGTGCCATAAAGATAAAAACATTGAGTAGTCGAAAAAGTATTTTCGTATTTCTAATCAAACTTCAACTTATTTTTTTTATATTTATGCTGATAAATAAATAAACAAATATATACCACTTTTTGCCATTTTTCCACTAGAGACATGTTATATCCGTGTAACTCGAAATTTCGAAATTTCCAGAACGGAAGCGAGCTAACCATTGTTGTGTTAAACGAACTGATACAGCATCGTCTCCGTAAATTTCATTCAACACTATATGGTGTGACACAATATGATTGGTAGTGCTGGAGATATAAGACTGCAACGACATCTATTGACAAAATACGAAAAGACTTCTTCGACTAGCCAATATAAGTACATATACTTATTGGAGAAGTTCCTACTATCTACCGTTAAAATATGGTGAGTAATATTCGCAAGCATATCATAATGGTATATTGATTCTTTTAAATATTATAAAATATAAGCGTTCGTAACAAATAATTTAAATTTTTTTCAATTTCACTGTTTTCCATTATAATCAGGTTCATTGAATTTTTTGACATATAAGATAAATCCAGTAAAGTCGAGGCCCTCCATTTAATTAAGTTTCTTTATGTGGTAGGTAACGCGAGGATTTTCATCATTCTCAAGTGTATCGATTACATGCCTTGGTAATGTTATCGGCGGCAGTAGTATTGATTCTGCAGATTCATCATCCCTTCGACCGTGTCTGTAGGCATAAATAATTGTATGAGTATGGTGAAAATTCATGAGGTTCCAAATAGGCTTTTACAGCTTAGAACCCTACATAAGTTTTAAATAACTTAACCAAATAAATAACTTAACTACATTATAATTGTATATAAAGCTAATTACTAAGAACAGATAGAACTATATATCTTAATTTGAAATTTAGTTTTTGTCATATCAGAAAAGCTGGAATTCGGAATATTACCCGGAATTATCTGCTAAGTTATGTAGATAAACGGAATAAACTATTAAATGGAGATCTAAACGAATGATCCTAATTCCAGACCGTCAATCCTTTGGAATACTTCTTTCAGCCTTTACAAGGTGGGTTTTGCATTGTGTGCTAAGGGGAATCTTTGTGAAAGATCGAACGCAGAGAGTATTGATTTACTGCTTTAGCACGCTTTCTAAATCATCCTGCTAATACTTCATTGTCCCAGTTTTAACCTCATTACAGCAGTTGGATGGTGCTCATGAATATTTTTTCATCTATAAATAGAATACTTTCGCGGCCGTAATTTGCATCAAGTTCCCGCAAGATGACCAGATAAACGACAGTAGATTTTCATGTGAAAACCATGTCGAATAAGTCTTGATATTAGCTTGGTCGATATATCCATTTCCCTATGCATAATGTTGTTTTCTAAGGATGCGTTCCTTTTTGGGGTTATTTTGTTTGGAATCACGTGATGAGGACCACTTTTCGTTTTGTCATCAACAATAGACGATTGGGAAAAACGATCGCAGTGCAGTGAAAAAACATTTTGGAAATATTAGGTTTCATGTAACGCTTACACATTTTACAGTTACGTATGCACATAAAGCAATCACCGCAATACGATTGTTTCTACTCAGCGAAAACGAACAATAAACTGAATCAAACAAATCTGAACAAATCTTAATAAACACGAAAGTAAGGGCTAAGTTCGGGTAGAAACCAAATATTTTTAAAATAGGGTAATAGTTTTCGTGAAAATATCATATTTTGGCAAAGCTACACGGTTTAAGGTCAGGTGGAAAAACGTAAAGATTCGATGGGGGATATTGTTCAAACGTATTTTTAATTTTTATACTCTCGCAACAAAGTTTATAGCTTTTTTCACAAAACGGTTGTTTGTAAGTCCTAAAACTAAAAGAGTCAGATATAGGGTTATATATCTGGGAGTGGAACCTGTGGGCCAAAGGTCCACACGTAGCGGACGTACCTTTTAAATGCACCTCTGACCAAAAACTACACTTAAATCGAACAACACTCGAACAATATTCGAACTGTATGGTCGAACATAGTTGAGAATTGTTGAGTGACACAGTAGTTCTGAAGAAGTCAGGAAGGGCAGACCAGCGGCGTCGCCCCGATAAGTTAATCAAATTAAATTTAAATACGTTTTTATATTAAAATAAGTTGTTATATGTGAACAAACTGAATTCAAATATATTAAAATAAGTTATTCTATGTGAACGTTTGAAATGAATAAATATAATAAATAAAATCTACATATATACCAAAGTGATCAGGGTGACGAGTAGAGTTGAAAGTAGGATGTCTGTCTGTCCGATAATAAATAAAATCTACATATATGCCAAAGTGATCAGGGTGACGAATAGAGTTGAAAGCCGGATGTCTGTCTGTCCGTCCGTCCGCGCAAGCTGTAAAAATTGAGATATTATGATGAAACTTGGTACACGTATTTTCTGGCTCCATAAGAAGGTTAATTTCGAAGATGGGCAAAATCGGTCCACTGCACCGCTCACCAAATGGCGAAAACCGAAAACCTATAAATAAAGATATTAAAGTGAAATTTGGCACAAAGGATCGCATTAGGGAGGGGCATATTTGAACGTAATTTTTTTTGGAAAAGTGGGCGAGGCCCCGCCCCCTACTAAGTTTTTTGTACATATCTCGGATACTACTATAGCTATGTCAAACAAACTCTACAGAGTTCTTTAATTCAGGCATTTCCATATACAGTTCAAAAATGGAAGAAATCGGATAATAGCCACGCCCATCTCCCATACAAAGGTTTTGTTGAAAATCACTAAAAGTGCGTTAACCGACTAACAAAAAACGTCAGAAACACTAAATTTTACGGAAGAAATATCAGAAAGTGCAGCTTCTTTAAAAATTGAAAATGGGTGTGGCGTCGCCCACTTATGGACCAAAAACCATATCTCAGGAAGTACTCCACCGATTTCAATGAAATTCGGTACATAATATTTCCTTAACACCCTGATGACATGTACGAAATATAGGTGAAATCGGTTAACAACTACGCCTTTTTCCAATATAACGGTATTTTGAATTCCATCTGATGCCTTCTCTATATAATATATACATTAGGAACCAATGATTATAGCGGAATAAAACTTTACCCAATTTATCATTTTTGACATACAGACACACCATTATAAGAGAAGGATTATCCCTTAAATACAGTTGTATATATCACACATTGACTAACATTATCGATCAAAAGTCAACCAGTATCTAAGTATTCGGTACCTATGGGCTTGAACAGTTTTTATTGGATTTAAACAATGTTTGGTCAGAAGGTGGAACATACTGAAGACATTATTAGTGAAAAGTTTTATCACGTTATATTATTTGCTTTTTGATTTGGAATTTAAAATTCTGCTATAAGGAAAGTAGGCGTGGTTGCTGTCCGACTTCGTCGATTTTATCGGAATCGATTTGTCGGGTCCCGAGATATCGGCGGTGCCACACCTATAGTCCAATTTCACACCGGCTTTCATAAAGCTCTCTCATACGATCTCGGTGGTAAAATTTAATGTCTTTAGTGTAATTAGTTATTGATTTATTGAGTTTTTAGTACTTTTGAACAGTACCGTTAAATGGAGAGTGAGCGGGGTGTCTCCTGATTTCATCCATTTTTACACTAGCGGTAGAAGTTCTTATAATATTAGTACTCAGCAAATTTGGTAGTTGTAGCTTAAGTGGTTTAGGAGATATATACATTAAATTTGTTAGAGGGCGGGGCCCCGCCCATTTAAAAAAAAAATCTCGAAAATGATGCTTTGCGCCAAATTACAGCTTTATTTCTTAATTTGGTGCTTAGTCATGTCCCTTCTTGAGTTTTCGGTTAATGGCGATTTGAGTGCGTGGCAGTGGTCTGATTCATAGAGATTTCTCAATTTTTACTCAAGTTACAGCTTGCACGGACGGACAGGACAGACAGACATCCGGATTTCAACTCTACTCGTCACCCTGATCACTTTGGTATATATAACCCTATATCTGTCTCTTTTAGTTTTAGGACTTACAAACAACCGTTATGTGAACAAAACTATAATACTCTCTTTAGCAACTTTGTTGCGAGAGTATAACAATAATAAACTCTGTAGCTACTGGTTGCAAGACGATAAAAATCATTATATGTGGTATATGGGAGTTGTGGAAAGTATCGACCCACATTATTTATACCACATTCTACAAGTCACAAAGTAATAAAATATTCCCTTGGTTTTAGTAAGGTACCTCACATACCATCATCAATCATCATCATCATAAGCATCAGTTATGTTGCCGGATATTCGAAAGTTCTGTTAGTTATATAGGGTCTAGGACAAGATTTATCCATCTTAAGCACAAAGATATAATGTTATTAGTAAAACACGCTCTCTACTTTTCATTTAAATCGTTCTATTACGTTTCGGACAAACCCTGTAGCCTTCAGTTCGTGTAACGATTCACGTTTAAATTCTTCAATTGACTCAAAACGATTTCCTCAGAGCGGTCGTTTGAGTTTGGTGAATAGTCAGAAGTCACACGGAGATAAATCATACAAAAACGGTGGTTGCAGCACGTTATTGGTTAAAGATTTAGCGAAAAACTCAAAAAATCAATGCACTATCGTGATGCAAAAAGAAAGAGTTGCTGGTCCATAATTCCGTCCTCTTTTTAAGAATAGCTTCCCGTAAACGACGCCTAACACTCAAATACCTCACCTTTGCCACGATATTCGGTCGATTCAACTGTTTTTCGGTCGTAAGCATACATCTAAGACTCATCGTCAGAAATAATACGATTCATGTCATCCTGGTAGTCGTAAAGCATTGTTTCACAGACGTTAGCGCGACGTTGTTTTTTCGAAAAAATTTTGTGTTTATGAAACCAATCGTACTATTCTAACGATTCCATTAAGATCTCTGACTGATAATTGTCGGTCCTTAAGCATCAATTCCTTTAGTTTATTGACTTGTTGATCATCAGTTGATGCTGATGGCCGTCCTGGACGTGGTTTGCTGTCCATGCGTTCTCGACCCACTGGTGACTGTCATAACTTTGAAGTCGTAGATAATTTCGTTTATTTTGGAACCAGCATCAATATCAACAACAATATCAGCCTTGAAATCCAACGCAGAATTGCGAACAGATGCTACTTTGGACAATTTCAGGCAATTGACGAACAAAGACCAAACTCTACAAGACCCTCATCATTCATCATTAAGTTCCGTAGCAGCATATTGTAGGAGGTTCAAAAGTATTTACAAAAGATTCCTTACAAGAACCTTTGTAAATACAGTTTTTATGGCAGATATAAGCTGTAGTGGGCCGATATTGGCAATTCCGAAAAGGACGGAAACAAAATTTCAGAAATATCAAAAACTAAGAGACGACTTCATATATATAGTATGTAAAAGTAAAAGCTCGCCATGCTGATCATTTATAAACATTTTAGGGTCTTTGACGGTTTCTTTTGAGTAATAAAAACAAATTGCCAAACTAAATATATCCTATTCAGGGGAGTAAAATAGCATTTTTTTTGTGAATTTATCCTCACAACATACTTTGTAATTTTTATACTCTCGCAACAAAGTTGCTAAAGAAAGTATTATAGTTTTGTTCACAACCGTTAGTTTGTAAGTCGTAAAACTAAAAGAGATTAGATTAGATATATCGTCATATATACCAAAGTGATCAGGGTAACGAGTAGAGTTGCAATCCGAGTGTCTGTCTGCCCGTCCGTCCGTCCGTGCAAGCTGTAACTTGAGTAAAAATTGAGATATCATGATGATTGGTACACGTATTTCTTGGCTCCATARGAAGGTTAAGTTCGAAGATGGGCAAAATCGGCCCACTGCCACSCYCACAAAATGKCGAAAACCGAAAACCTATAAAGTGTCATAACTAAGCCATAAATAAAGATATTAAAGTGAAATCGTGACAAAGGATCGCATTAGAGAGGGGCATATTTGGACGTAATTTGTTTGGAAAAGTGGGTATGGCCCCACCCCCTACTAAGTTTTTTGTACATATCTARTAAACTACTATAGCTATGTCAACCAAACTCTACAGAGTCGTTTTCTTCAGGCATTTCCATATACAGTTCAAAAATGGAAGAAATCGGATAACAACCACGCCCATCTCCCATACAAAGGTTAGGTTGAAAATCACTAAAAGTGCGTTAACCGACTAACAAAAAACGTCAGAAACACTAAATTTTACGGAAGAAATGGCAGAGGGAAGTTACACCCAGGCTTTTATGGACCAAAAACCATATCACTACTCGATCCGACTGATGACGGTGAAATCGGTTCACAACCATGCGTTCTTCCAATATAAGGCTATTTTGAATTCCATCTGATGCCTTCTCTGTATAATATAATATATTCCAATGATTATAGCGGAATAAAACTTTAAACAAATACGGTATTTGAGCTGAGGTATCCCTTGTGGAAAAATTGTCGTGATCGGACCATAACTTTTCAATACAATTAAAATAAATGGAAATACAATTCTATACTCAAAGTACACAAATTACCACTTTATCATGCGAGAGTATAAAATGTTCGGTGACACCCGAGCTTAGCTCTTCCTTACTTGTTAATCCAACCATTATAGCAGACTAAGTATAGTGTGTAAATTATTTGATTCAAAACATGTGTATGTTTGAAGAGATTTTAATAAATTGTTTTTCCTTATTTACGAAAACTTCTAAGTTAATTTTCAATTAAATACTATAATCTCGAAAGTTCTTGGTTTCAAGGTCTGTTTGAGGTAAAATCAAATATCAAAATTTATATAATATAATGATAGAATGAGTTTATTTAAAGGTTGCCGGTTGGTAGGTATTATTAAGGCATTTTCTTTTCCGAAGTGGCTTAACTGTTTTATAAAGCTTAATATTTGTCGTATTTCCCTAGTTTTCAATCAACATGAATGTTTAAAAATTGGTAAAAAAATTCACTGACAACAACCTTCTAATAGATATCGGAACTTTGGAGAGGCTGTTGGTAATGTGAACATGTGAGCATTTCCTATTTGGACTTAAGAACAATTCCCATGTTTATAATAATACTTTTCTTTGCGTCTACGTATATACCTTTCGTTCCGATAATGATCTCTGCATTTTACAAGTTTATATATTAAGCCGGCCAGCAAAAATAAGGCTAAAAACAGAGTTATTACGAACAGCAGACCACCAATCCAGACACCATTCTACAAAACAATAAAAACAGTTAGAGTTATTGTGTACATAAAATTACAGTATTGTATTAACAGAGTGCTGCATGATAAATGGTAGGCCGTAAGCTATATTATATGTATATATTGTGTCTTACCAATATAAACGTATCGCAATTACAGGATTTGCTTTGTTTTGCTTTAATCATGTGGAATATTGTTGCACACGATCCTAGCGCATTTTTAAGACCGCGTTCAGCATTTGTTATATAATTATCTACGTTATCCCTGAGTATTGATATGTCGTGATCGATGTAGTATTTACATTTATCTTTAGTAGTTCTACACATATCTTTAACTTCGGCATAGACGGACGGTATGGATGCTGCAAAATCTCTACCAATTATATAAGCAGCTCGGCATTTCCAAAATTTAATTTTACTGACTGTTGGGTTAAATCTTTTTGCCTTGTTTGCCAGATTCAGATTGCAATACGAAAATTTAACACGTTCGTGGAAATAAGTTTCATGAAATTCATTAGTCATCCTAGATATTAATTATATTACTGCAAGTCAACGCGAGTAAGAAAAAAATACAGATTTACTTACCATATCAATCCTGGGAGTCTCGCATTATATATGACATGGGTTAAACGTATAGGTGTTAGCCACGATGACGTGACTGACTTAAATTTACAAAAGTAATTTTTCTTCGGAAACTTCTCAACTTCTTTTTGTAACTTCTGTAGGATCGATATGTTCAAGGGTCGACAGTTGCGTTCGCAGACATCCTGCATTATCGTTTCATTTAAAGGTGCCCATTTCGAAAATGGGCGAATCAAATTATTTTCCAACAATAATGTGTATAAATTCTGATCGTTGGTGCAATCCGTTAACATTACGTGATTGAAAGTTGTTTTCTCAGCTGATCTGATGTTAAATAAAAAGTTTTGTTAAGTTAAGAAATGCATAAAAATCCTTTGGAAAAAATGAAATTAATGTTGGCAATGTAATATTATACAAGTTAAGCTTACTCTTCCGTTCTATGACAAAATCCATTATATTCAATAACTCCGTAGAAGAAGTGGTAAAATGTAACAAACGCCATCAGTATTAAAAGCAGTGTGAGGATTATATTAATACTTGAAAAAATTGAAAATTTTTGCTGCACGGAAAGTTTATTACACATTTAATGCATGGAAACTTACAATAATAGAGCTTTAATCATAACATTTCCTTTCATACACAAAGAGCACATTACAAGTAAGAAAAACAGCACAAGTACCTGTAAGTTAATTGAATATATTTTAGAACTAATTAGAAATAAGCAATTCGCGCGACAGCGAACCTTAGACACACTTATTCAGTAAAAGATGAAGAAGTATTGAATTTTTATTACTTGACAAAATTTATATAGAACATGCTAGTGTTAGTTTACAAAAAAATCGATCTGACGTGTTCATCCCAAAACAACCTGCTTGGTTCAGGAACAACAATCAGTATAACCCATTTAATATTCATGTCCCTCAGTTTTTAAGATATCGTCCCTCAGTCCCTCAGTTTTTAAGATATCGTTTTTAAATTTTGCAAACGTCATTTTCCCTTCAAGAAGCTGCTCATTTATCGGAACTGCCGATATCGGACCACTATAACATATAGCTGCCATACAAACTGAACGAGCGGAATCAAGTTCTTGTATGGAAAGCTTTCATATTTCACAATGTATTTTCACAAAAGTTGGCACAGGTTATTTTTAAAGGCAACAATATAATTTCCGAAGAAATTGTTCAGAATGGATTACTATAGCATATAGCTTCCCTACAAACTGAACACATAAATGCAACTGTGAAGCGTATTTAACTTCGGTGCAACTGAAGTTAACGTTTTTCATTGTTTTACTTATTTCTTTCTTTTTTTGAAGTAATAAAATTTTCAATATAATATTTGTATTTATGTACTGAATTGAATTTTAACATATATATATATAAAGTATCCTATGTCTTTATCATGGCTCTAAGCTACCTCTCCACCAATTTTCAGCCAAATCTGTTCAGAAGTTCTTGAGTTAGAAATGGTGTAAGTAACAAGACTTTCTTTTATATATATAAATTATCGGACTTGTCGGATTTGAAATTTTTTGCATGTTCCCTTAAAAATATGATTTTTGGCTGTAGTGCGGTGAATGTCGTCTTTGAGCTAAACGGTCAATTTTTGGGGATCCAATTGCGTTTCCTAAACTCACGAGTGTGTGGATCTCATCTGAAAAGATCGTGTTTCTCTGCCCCGTTTTGCTCTGTTGGCAAAAAAATGTGATGTGAAAGCAACAACAAAGTTATCGCATTGATTTCGTTATCGCCGATATCTTCAATGCTACCATGTGTCAGAAGACCTGATACCGCAGGGTTGCGCTACAACAGCTGCCCCTTTGTTGAGGCATCTGGTACATATGTATGTATAATACAAGGAGTATTCCAAAGTAAACAGGACTTAAAAAAAATTTAAGCAATGGTTAACGCTTCCTTTTCATGGGCAAATGCATTTTGCCGAAAAGGAAAAAGTTGCACGGTGCCAAATCAGGTGAATACGGGAAGTGGTTAATGGGCAAAATGTGATTTTTTCAGGCCGAAAAAGGCGAAATTTCTTGTCCTTTTGAACCTTGTTAATGATATCCATCGAATGTTGGATTATGAGCAATTTTTGGTCGTCAGTCAATTTGTGCGGAACAAACCGTGCACACACCTTTCGTAAGCTAAAATGTTTGGTTAAAATGCGATAATTCGATGTTCAATTCCATTTCCATGAATTTCAACGGCGATTTCGGCTAATTTTTGATGAACTCACGCACAGTTTTGATAGAATTTCCGGTGATCACGGATTTTGATTGGCCCACATGTTGATCGTCATTTATGTCCACACCACCACTTTGAAAACGTTGAAACCACTCGTGCATACTGCTACATCATCGCCATAAACTTGTCTCCTCAATTGAAACGTTTCGGTGAAAGTTTTATCAATTTGAAAACAAAATTTAATGTTGGCTCATTGTTCGAAGCTTATTTTCGCACCGATACCACAAACATACTGACACTTAAAACGCAATAACTTCATTCAAAATCTATGAATTGTCATGAACTTCTCACTGTGCAATCGATAGCAATTCATATAGATGGCGCCACCACGGTCGCTAGATTGGAAAAGGCCTGTTTACTTTGGAAAGCTCCTTGTATAATAATTATTATCTGCAGGACTAAGCATTGCCATAAATTATGTTACAAAGCTTTCAATGAATACACTAAGCTACCATAGTTACAAATACCAAATTCGCCTAAAAACTCGCTCACTCGCCAAATAACGGTACTGTTAAAAACTACTAAAAGCGCGATAAATCAGTACCTAAATACGTCAGATATATTAACAGAGCGATTCTGTACTGTGATACGGTCACAAGTCTCTATTTTATTGTTATATTTATTGGTGTAAAATTAACATTCTTCGCTCAACATTTTTTAGGGCTAGCTGGTATGCCCCGACGATATTCAGATTATCCAGATGCTTCCACAACGTGAAATGTAGTCTCTACAATCGGGTCATCTGTTTCTTTACTAGGAATCTTTTTCTTCCTATTCATTATTTGAGGTTTTAGGTTAGAGACAATTTTTGTGACTTAAGAAGATTTTGCTAGTCTGTAAGTGACAGTCACAAAATCTATTACATTCATTATTCAGTAATGTTTTTACTCTTGAATGAAAATAAATATGTCGATAACATAGTAAAAAAAAAACATAATTTACCAATAAAAATAAAAATATATGTTGACTTTCTTTCATAATATTTACGAAATTTATGTAAAATTGATTTATTTTTAACCTTTTCGTGTTTGAGTTGCTTACAAAATATAAAAAAACGACTATCGATTAATATCTATGATGTTCTCAATTCAGTATATTCAATGGCAAACAAAAGTTCTGTTTAGTTTTGCGACCTGTTAACAAATTTGAGACGATATTTTGTGACTGAAGACTAGAGACTGCTTTGTGAATAGTAACTAGTCACAAATTGAGACTTTACCTCAAAATGTCTAAAATGTTGACTAGAGACTGAGATGTCATGAAGGGCCTTAATGGAGCTGTGGTGAAAATTGGATAATTAGGTTCCACCGGGACTTGGAACTTCCTCGACCGATTTTTATCAAATTCGGTAGGTATATAAAATTCTTCTGACATTCCTATGTACAGTGTGAAAACAAGTGCAATGTTGCTATAACCATGCTTACTTCCCAAATAACATAACTTTAAAGATCATTTTATTCTTTCACTTTCTAGTATACAAATCAAGTTGCAATTTATATAACGAAAAATGACCAAAAAGTCTCCACATCGAACAAAAACTGTTCATGCTTGTAGATACCGATTATGTGGACCCCTGTGCCTTGAGTTGACTTGTTACCGAAAACATCGGTAAAAGTGCGAGATATATATATGTATAACTGAAATTCGGAGAGAATCCTTTTCTGATGATAGTATGTCTGTATGTTACAGATGGGTCGAATCGGGTTAATACTTTTCTTAGCCCATATATCCTTAATATGTACAAAGATTTTCTAATTTTCAGGTGACTTTATACCGTATATATCGGCCACTATGTGAGTTATCTTTATAAAATATTTCCATTCCGAAATATTCTCCATTCAGATCCATATCTTTTGGATGCGTTTGAACCAGTTTTGTAAGAACTTTTGCCACCCTGATTGAGGGATCTCTAAAAAAAGGGCTCAGCGAAATCAACCGCTTCTGTAAGTGTTAAAAATATTGACTTTTAGTTTATTTTTTCGCACGGGAATAAAAAAAAATCTTTCGGTCCCAGGTGAGTGACTCATCAAATTGATGTTTTGAGTACACAAAAATGTAGTTGTTTCAGTCGATATGTGACAACTGGCAAATATTACAGAAATATAAATGTTTCACTCAGAATAGCGGTGTTATTGCAATATATCCAGTTGGTCCAAAATAATATGCAACCCAATGTATGCTGGCTCCACCAGCACCTATAGTTGCCTCTATCTCACAATAGGTCACATGACGATTTTACAATTTCTATTTGCGCACAACATCAATAGTTTCCGAAACAAAGACTGATTTTGGATGACCTTCAAAAAATCCGTTCTAGAGTGGCCTACGACTTCGATAATGATTCACGATACCATCGATAAATACTGGTTAGTGATTAAAATGCATCGCCAAAAACTGAATTTAATTCACCGATGCACTGTTGCTGAATTAATCCACGTGGAAATTTGTAAAAATAATCGCTCGAAAATGTTCGCGGTTCAATTCTATTGTTTTGCCGAGATGAATATTTCAAGTTACTGTAAGCAACACAAATAACCATTGTATGTCAAAATGTTCTAAGTATGTATAACATTAAAAAAGACAAACTTTACGTTAAATTTTTGAGTAGCGATAGTGCAACACTATGGTTGCCAAATCCGGAATTATAAAAAATCACATACACATTTGTGAATAAAATGGGTGAAAAATTTACTCTAGACACCATATATATAATTAATAAGCTGTAAGTATCTGAAGGTAATAAAACGGCTTTTCTACTCTTGCAACTATTTATTCCTGTGAAAGTACACTCGTACGTACTCCGTGAGTATCCATTGTACCTTCTTCCGTGCTGATCAAGACCGGCATTTTACTGTGAATGGGAATCGGAACCGCTCAATGATAGTCCGAATACTTGAAACTTCGAACGAATATTGAACGTGAAATTACAGATGTATCGATTTATGCGAGAAAACCGACAAAAATGGGTTCGGTGTCTGGACTTCTGCAAGCGTTCCCGTGGTGGCCATGYAAAAGACTTTCACACGAATAAATCATCGGAGACTCCGGTGAATGAACGTCTAGCCATAATCCGCATCAAAGCGAGGTTCTTCAACATATCTCTAATTTGCGCCCACGCTCCGACGGAAGAGAAGGACGATGTGACCAAAGATGCATTTGATGAGTGCTTGGAAGGCACTTATGAGAGCTGCCCCCGCCACGATRTCAAAATCATGCTTGGCGACTTTAACGCCAGGGTGGGCAAAGAAGGTATCTTTTGCACTACGGTCGGTAAATTCAGAATCCACGAGGAAACATCCTCAAATGGGTTGAGGCTGATCGACTTCGCCGGGGCCCGAAAAATTATCTGTAGTACTAGATTCCAGCATAAGAAGATACATCAAGCTATCTGGTTGTCTCCGGATCGAAAAACCACCAACCAGATCGATCATGTTGTCATTTCAAACTACTTACAGACAGCTGCAACCGAAACCATTGGTTTTCGGAAAGTGCAAAAGAACAGCTGGTACAATGAGGAGTGCTGTGCCGCAGCGGGTTGAAAACAGGATGCCTGCCTCGCAACGTTACGATCGACCACAACACGTGCGGGATGGGATAGATACCGAGAGTTGAAAAGGGAAGCGAGACGCATTTGCAGATAGAAAAAGAAAGAGGCCGAAATGCGTGAGTACGAGGAGCTTGATAAGCTGGCCGACAGGGGTAATGCTCGAAAACTCTACGAAAAAATGCGGCGGCTTACAGAAGGTTTCAAGACCGGAGCATACTCTTGTAGAATCCCCAAAGGTGATCTAGTCACCGATGTCCAGAGCATACTTAAATTATGGAGGGAACACTTCTCCAGCCTGCTGAATGGCAGTGAGCACACAACGTCAGGAGAAGGCGAACCCGAATCCCCAATCAATGACGATAGAGCAGAAGTTCCATTGCCCCACCAGGAAGAAGTTCGAATAGCAATTAAACGCCTGAAGAACAACAAAGCGGTGGCGGCTGAACTACTGAACTGATAAGGAGCATGCATCAGCTTCTTTGTAAAATATGGTCGGACGAAAGCATGCCCAACGATTGGAACTTAAGTGTGCTATGCCCAATCCTCAAAAAAGGAGACCCCACAATCTGCGCCAACTATCGTGGGATAAGTCTCCTCAACACTGCATATAAGGTTCTATCGAGCGTATTGTGTGAAAGATTAAAGCCCACCGTCAATAAACTGATTGGACCTTATCAGTGCGGCTTCAGACCTGGAAAATCAACAACCGACCAGATATTCACCATGCGCCAAATCTTGGAAAAGACCCGTGAAAGAGAATCGACACTCACCACCTCTTCGTCCATTTCAAAGCTGCTTTCGACAACACGAAAAGGATCTGACTTTATGCCGCGATGTCTGAATTTGGTATCCCTGTAAGCTGACGTTGAGCTGCGTTAGAAGCAAAGTCCTCTCTCGGCAAACAAATACCAAACTCTATAAGTCACTCATAATTCCCGTCCTGCAACATGGTGTAGAGGCTTGCACGATGTCAAAAAGGGATGAGTCGACCTTGCGAGTTTTCGAGAGAAAAGTTCTGCGAAAGATTTATGGTCCTTTCCGCGTTGGCCACGGCGAATATCGCATTCGATGGAACGATGAGCTGTACGAGATATCCGATGACATTGACATAGTTCAGCGAATTAAAAGACAGCGGCTACGCTGGCTAGGTCACGTTGTCCGGATGGACGAAAACTCCAGCTCTGAAAGTATTCAACGCAGTACCCGCCGGGGGAGGAAGACCTCCACTCCGTTGGAAGGACCAAGTGGAGAAGGACCCGGCTTCACTTGGAATATCTAATTGACGCCACGTAGCGAAAAGAAGAAACGACTATCACGCTGTTGTTAACTCGGCTATAATCGCGTAAGCGGTGACTACGCCCATTAAGAAGAAGAAGAAGAAGTTGGAAGAGTATGAAATGTTCGGTAATACCCGAAATCAGCTCTTCCTCGCTTGATACTTTTTTGAGTTTTGTACTCATGTTCTTGTTTAGATCTATGTATTTTTTTAATACTCTTGCAACCAGTTGCTACAGAGTATTGTAGTTCTGTTCACCTAACGGTTGTACGAATCACCTAAAATCAATGAACATAGGGTTATATACATACTATATCTACGTCTGTGCAAGCTATAACGTGAGTAAAAATTAAGATATTTCGATTAAACTTGGTATGTAACTTCTTTAGCACAAAAAAATTCGAGTTCGTAAATGGGCGTAATCAGACCACTGCCATGCCCACAAATGGTTATTAACCGAAAACACAGATAATACCTCAAAGTAATACCTCTTGGCCTAAATACAATTGTGTCAACGTTTTTTTCAATCCTCGAAACGGTTGTTACAGCCAATTTCCGGAATAGCCTTCAATGCGATTCTCGTTAAATGTTTTCAATTGACTCAAAAGGGTTTCCTCGGAGCGGTCGTTTGAGTTTGGTGAATAGCCAGAAGTCACACGGAGTTAAATCGAATTATGTGGTAAGAGGCACCACACCTCGATAATCGATATATCTTTGATTTTTAACCTGTTTTGACGTGATTTTTAGGCTTCGGCTCGGATCGTACGCTTACACACTCAAAATTTAATTGTTTGTTGAATAATTGCACTCATCGTAAAAATCGCCGAATGCACGTTTTGTGCTTCATAAAGACAAGCCTATACTAAGCACTAATGATTATTTGAATGTGACGTTTGACGTTTGGTTCAGATGTCACTGACAGTCACAAAAAACTAGAAAAAAATATTTCGACCAATTGGTTTTCGCGCGAAATTTAAATTAAGAAGACTTACTATTTGTTGTCTACAGTACAATTCTTTGAACACAATAAAGCACTTACCACAATAGCCATAACGCACACGATGTGAGCAAATTTATATGGGGGAGCGATGTGTAGATCCTTACTTAGCGAATGTGACTTCAGCTTTTCTCCAAGATAAACCTTTTGCACTTTAGCATAAGAAGCTTTTAAATATACAGAAATTAAATTTATTAGTTCAATTTAATTTTATAATAATTAAAAAATATTGTTTTCAACCATAAATACTCTCGCAATGATTATAATAGTGTTCTTAAAATATTATCGGTAGTACTGTCCAAAAATATATCAAATGAAATTCGGTTACCTATTCGGTACCTATTCTAACGCCGCCTATACTCAGCCGAAACTATGCTTATCTTCTAATAACTAAATGAAAATAGTTAAAAACTGACTACAGTCAAATCGGAATTACATATGATAACCGTTATATCGTCATCATCCTTTCACTTTAGAGGAGATAAGCCAAGCATTAAGGAGGATATATATATGTAGGTATAAAATTTTGTATGAATATTGCTTTTGTGGTGTGGCAGCTCTAACTTAAGGGGATTATGTGACGGCTCGTTTTTTACGTTTTTTTCTTCGACCAGTAAATGTTTCATACAAAGTGATAAATTACACATTGAAATTTATTACGATTGATTTTTGCCATCAACGTATGACAGCCCAAGGCAACGTAAGGTAAAAAGTACTCCCAAAATGCGATGACAAACGTGCGAAATTATGGATCGCGGTCAATTAGCGATCGTCACGATGTCTCAGCATGACTTTTCAAACAACAGTTACAATGTTTGATGGACTTTATCTTGAAGCAACGTATATGTGGTGCTTTTAGATGCTAGATATACTCTGTTGAGGAGGTGTGCCACTTGCAAACATTCTTTTTTGGATGGTGGAGGGTGGTTACACCAGATCAAATTGATGAAATAATTTCTGCGAAAATTTATGATGCAGAGAAAGATCCAGCATTATACGAAAAGATGAAAACCAATATGGTTCATGGAGCTTACGGACACCACAATCCCTTGATTCTACGGATTTCTTTTGAGTTCTAACGTTTTGCCATTTCAGTTCAAACGTATTCCATTTCCAGTGAAAATTGCATTTGAAACGACAACCAACAGGACATAAGGATAGTTTGTTTTTCACACGGCTAGATATACGTGGCGCGATCACGAGTTGGAAAACCATCTTCTCTGTATATTTACGCACCGCCACAGAAACCAAAAAATGTTGTTTATCAAGCTGCGTTACATTGAAAAAAATAGAAAAATCGCAAATAAATGATTATGAACACAATATGAATTTTTTTCCAATTATTTGAAAGATCCTCAACCCTATAGTCTCAAGCATACTGGTCGGTTACCAGCAAATGATTTATAATTTAGCAACTAGCGAAGGCATGAGTTGTAGGCAGTTTGATTGAAATTATTATTATTTTTTAGGTTATAATGCATTATAACAATAAAAAATATTTTTGTGCGTTGAGGACTTCACTGCTGCAAGGGAGATAGGCTTTTGAAGGTATATTAAAATCATCCGCAAATAAGACTTTGACCAACATAAACGGTTTAAAGAAAAAACCACTATATAGCGTATATTTGGACAGACAACTTCTGGACTGACTTCACCTACTGTTGACATTGTTCAGGTCGAGAACATATGTAGCTCATGCAATGACCGGCATATACGACAGATGGTAAGAATAACGAAAATAATTATAAAAGTGTGTATAGAATTTGGACGTTGGAGCCATAGTATTTCCAATATTATATCTTCGGCCAGTTTTCCTAAGATAACTTACATATTGACCTATTTATTCGACATAACCACCTATTATTAACAGAAAACGAGCCTCTGGCTGACTTCAGAAATGTATTTTGCTTTGCATTCCAACAATGTCACATATTCCCAAACGAAATTGTAAAACGAAAAAACGTTAACTTCGGCTGCACCGAAGCTAATATACCCTTCACAGGAGCATTTCTGTTTGTATGGAAGCTATATTCTATAGTAATCCGATCTCAAAATTTTTTTCGGAGATTATATTGTTTTCTTAAGCAGTAATCCATACCAAATTTCGTGAAGATACCAAATGTGAAAGTTTTCTATACAAGCCCTTGATTCCAATCGTTCGGTTTGTATGTCAGCTATATGTTATAGTGGTCCGATATCGGCAGTTCCGACAAATGAGCAGCTTCTTGAAGAGAAAATTACGTTTACAAAATTTCAAACCGATATCTTAAAAATTGAGAGAGTAGTTCGTATATATACAGACAGATAGACGGACGGGCATGGCTTAATCGACTTAGCTCAACATACTGATCATTTATATATATATTTTACAGGGTCTCCGACTTAATATACTCTGTTCAGGGTATAAAACCTTCCTAATGTATCGTATTTTTAATGGCAACTCTGCGCAATAAATGTGGAAAACAATGCAGCCTCCGCATCGCTAAATTTTCTAATGGCGAGCAAGGAAGAAAGAAAAGAAAATTTTTACGTTTCTTATTCACATATTATTTATGGCATGCGGTGTTGCAGGAAATTAACGATCTCGATCCAGCATTTTCGTTCTTGCGTTTGACATATCACGCAAATTCCCAAACTTTGGGGTGACTTAATAGTGCATCAAAAGAGGAACCTAAGCCCAACCGTCAACGGTGTGTAAATTTTCCGACGAACTGGATGAAGTGTATGAGTGTCGGGGCGATATAACTGTTCCGGAACGCAAGACTGCCCCAATACACTTGTGCCCACGTTTTTTCCAATCCTCGAAAGAGTTATTAAAGTCAACTTCTCGAATATCTTTCAATGCGGGTAGCGATTCTTGTTTAATGTCTTCAATTGACTAAAAACGAATTCTCTGGAGCGATCGATTGAGTTTGTTGGTTAGCCAAAATCGTTCTTTTACTTTGATTTTTCCAATTGGCGTTCACTGATCTTTTCGAAATTCCAACGATGCCAATGAGATCTCTGACTGTTAATCGCCGACTCTCAAGTACATCACATTCCTCTCTTTTATTGGCGTTTTGATCACAAGTTGATGGCCGGAATGGAATTTCTTTGTTGAATAATTTCACTCATCGTAAAAATTGCCGAATAAACTTTATATGCTTCAGAAAGACAAGCCACAAAACAGATGTCACTGGCAATCATATCGCAATCGATCGAAAAATCTTTAATATGCCTTAAAAATATAATCGCGCCTCTCTCTCACTCTTCCCTACTTTTTTTGCTCTCAAAAATAATGTACCCTATTCTAATACTTTAGTTTAGTGTTAAATATATTTCATATACTCAGTTTGATATCATAATATRGTTTTTTACCAAAAAGGAATGAAATAATTTTTTTAATATAATGAATTTTGAGAAAATCTCGGTCGAAGTGCAAGAAATATCGATAAAACCAATTAGGATATAATAATAAAGGTAGGAGTGTCTATGGCCCTTAGTATAAGTAAGTAAGACCTTATAATATAAAATATAACAATTTTCCACCCCTAATATTCCCCGAATTGCGAGAATTGTAATTTTTGTGTTCAAATCCAAATAGGGGGCATCTAGGTTAGCGTTGATGATATTTTATCATAATCGTATGATGTGTAAAGTACTCATTCAATGTTTAAGCATACATACAAATATATGTACTTACCTAACTTATTAAAGTATTTACTAACTTGATAGCAGACTCGTGACCTTCGTAATTCTGAATACGCGGAATCTGTGTAAAAATTCATCAATTCCTTGATTGCGATTGCTGAATTATATAGTCCTTCCCACTATTCAGATAGAAGTGTTAAATATACTACTTGGTTTAAGTAAACATGAAGCGAGTGAAACTATAGAATATTGAGATGTGCATATGTATGTATATTAATAGCTTTACTATGTCTTGTCTAAATCTTGTTTCTTAACTCTCGAAGACAAGCCGCCCAAATACACTGGTAAACAAAAATCCACATGTTTTTTGTGACATGAACAGAACAAAGTGTTTATTATGTAACAATTGCCACAAATGCAGAAAATAGCTATAGATTTCTTCTATCGCCTATAGTTTTTTGCTATGAAAATTTTTGTTAAAAAAAAAAAAAAACATTATATTATTATTGTATTATTTTATTAACCAAAGAATACCTTTTGATTTTGGAGTATCCCTTAACAATGTCCAGCAGTAATCGGCAAGCAAACTGTCGCTCCACTTGCCTTGGTACCGTTTTGTCATGGCCATTAAATTTACGGGGAAAAAAATGCAGATGGGAGTCCAAGTGAATTTTAAGGGACATGTGACAACTCATTTTTTATAGGCAGTAAGTAGTTCAGTCAAGATCTTTGTAATTGTTAGCTTTCACATTTCCAAGAAAATGTTTAATAACACTTTTAAAGGCACTCCAGGGTCGTATTTCAGTTTCATTGAGCATTTCCTCAAAATTTTATCCTTCATTAGTTCTCTTATTTGGGGCTATTACTTTTACTCCACATATTCCCCAACCATACTAATAATAACGGATGTGCTCTAAAAGAACTTTCATATTCTCATATGTTATGAACTAATATCACCTTTAAACTAAGTTTAGAGCAATCAATGAATAGACGCCAATCACGTGGAGCATTTTTCTGGCCTAGTAGGTTAAACAAAAGGTTAACTTCTGAACAGTGCATTAGATCCCCTTCTTGAAGAAAGCAATTTGTTGGTCTTTCTGCCTTTTTCTCTAAAGTTATATTTACATTATTTTGGAGAAGCTTCCAACCTTTTAGTCTGGATGCTAAAAGTTCGGCCTGCGATTTTGAATGGCTTAGATCTCGAACTTAGTCTTTATGTTCAGGCTATGAAATTAGATGCGGCACTGTTAAACATCCTGTTAAATAAAATAAAGGATCGGTTTCCGTAACATCACTTGAATAGCTAGTCGATTCTAGTTCTTCATCAAGACTCCAATAATCTGGTGCTTTTGAAATACCTTTAATATTCTTGAGACAAAAGTAGCAGTCTGTAACATGGTCTTCAGGTTCTCTCCAAACCATTGGCACTGCAAAGGGCATTTCACGATTTGAATCTTTTAACCAAGGTGTTAACAATATTACACAAGCTTTTCAACAGATATGAGGGGCCCATGATTTGTCTTGGTCCCCAACTGTAACACCAAAATACAGTGCTTAAGCTTTTAGCACAACCGGAGTAAAATTACGGTTTTGCGATTTAAATGTTAGTAATCCGCACTCATAACGAAAATTGTTGGCTATTTACGCACTGCCTAGGCATTGTACCTAAAAATCTTAAACACAGTAATTTCAAAAACATAAAAGAATTTGAACTCAAAAACATAGAACACGTAACCGACTCAGACACCGTTACACTTGACAAATTCAACATATTTCTAATTTGTCAAAATTTGAAATTTATCAAGCATTTCGTATTCTGCTTTCTTTATAAGTTGTTAAGATGTAAAATGCTCTTGATAGTGCTCGTTATGAATTAAATATCTGATTGTGCATCTTGTTGTGAAAATGGAAGATATTTTACTTTTGTTATTACTGTTAAACGAAGATGAAGATTGTGAAAATAGTAATCGCGCGCGGCATTTAAAATGTTTACGCGACGATAGCAATCCATTTTCTGTGAGCGAGAATACCTTTGGGCAAAATTGTCGATTAACTCGTGAAATTTGCCGTCGCCTAATTAATCAGCCCCATACGATAATCAGAAAACGTCACTACCTTTAACTGTAATGGTTTTAGCAGCTTTGAACTTTTTTGGACATGGCCCATATCAGGAAATGTGTAGGTAACAATGTCAACTTGCCCATGAGTCAGTCGTCCGTTTCGAGAAGTGTGCGTGCTGTAGCAAAACTTATTGTGAAGGTAAAGGGAGGAGAAATAGAGTTTCTCCGTTCAAAAGAGGAAGAACTTTTATAAAAACGGGGCAAGTATTATTGTAATGCAAATAATAATATACTAACTTAAGGCAATTTATTTGATATATACTTCAGATTTTTTAGAAAATTTGGAATAGAAAGCACCATAGGAGCAATTGACTGCCCGCATATTGCTATCAATATATTTTGAATAGAAATCGGCTGTTTCTATTTACATTATTTTGTTCACCACACGTGTGGGGAAAAGCTTTGCGAATTGAAGCACTTACTTTTATCAAGATTGGCACAGAATACGCTGTTTACTTCAAACAAGCAGGCAGAATCGGTCTAAACCGGATAATTCTCTGATCGTATGAAAATATGAGACGATGAGATATAATGAAATTTTATGTATTGTAAAATCTAAAGCCGCAGGTTACGGAATATGGGAGGGTGACAGAAAAATTATGTTTTCAGATTTGACTTCAGGGTATCAAACTGCATTTAAAACATTTAAAGATTTTCATGTCACAAATAATGTGTCTACCAGTGTTATCGAAGCTATAATGTTTGTCGAACAATTAAAAAACAATTTAATAGTAGAGATTACAATTTATTAAAAAAAAAAGATTACCAGTGTTAGCTAAATTATAGAAAATACATAAACTTTTTTTTATTTCATCTATACAATAAACATCAATCTTAAAAAAAAATATGTACTTACGTCGTCTAATGAGAATATTGCATTTTTGTAATGATTAGCATTATTATTTTGAATATACTTGGCTCCATAAGTACTTACACCATAAAAGGCACTAAAATTTCGTGAAAACATTCGAAATACTTTAAGAAAAAAATATTATATTAGTGTAGGTATATATTGTATAGATTGCAGTGCACTTACTATCATCATACAGTAAAGTATCGTCGAAAATTGGTTCGACGGACGTTTCTATAAAATGTTCGAATATTTTGCGGTAGGCGATTGAACTTTTCCGGGCTTTTGTAGTCTCAGGGTAAAGATCTGTCAGCGATGCTATAAGTATAGGTATCTATTAGACTATCTGTTAAAGCAAGCAAGGCAACAGTCATAACATTCCAACAACAGATTTTTTCAACTAGTAAAAAAAATTATGATTTGTGAGAAATGAAATTAATTGAACCATTTTACACCAAAAAAATATGAGAAATTGTATAACAGCTATGTTGAGGAATATGAAAAGAAATCGTTTTTTGTCAGTGTATAAACAAGTTATTTATTACTTCAATATTATTATACATGTTTAGCTTAAAAATATAAAAATATTAATAATTTTTATATATAATCCTTACATTAATTAACACATGTTTTTAGAGAGATTCCTATACATTTTTATCTGCATATGTATATATAGATATATACATATATTGGATAGTGAAAAAAGTATTTTCGTTTATTAAAATATCTTTTTTAATGAAGCTGCTGAAATTTTAATTTTTTTTCCATAAAATTCGAAAAAGTATTTTCGTTTTTCTAATCAAACATCAATTTATTTATTTTGTTATATTTAATATAAAATGAACTTTAAAGAACAAAATGCGTACCTTTTTGATCGACCACTCTTTGCCATTTTTTCACTAGAGACATTACTTCATGAGAGCAAAACTTTTCTGGTTTCTCGGCGAGAAACTGCGACAAGTAATTTTCATAGCCTTCTGTTGAAGCCAACTTTACTCCACTAAGGGAGTTCTGCATTGACCGAAACAAATAATAGTCTGATGGTGCAATGTTAGAACTATATGGTGGATGCATCAAAACTTCCCAGCCAAGCTCTCCTAGTTTTTGCCGAGTCATCAAATATGTTTGTGATCTAGCGTTGTACTGATGGAAGACGAAGCCCTTTCTGTTGAGTAGTTTTGACTGTTTTTTTTCGATTGCTTGCTTCAATCTTATCAGTTGTTGACAGTAAAATGTAGAATCAATCATTCCACGAGGCTGGAGTAGCTCTTAGTGGATGATATCTCTCCAATCTCACCAAACATTCGGCATAACCTTTCGTGCCGTCAATTCTTTCTTTGCGACCATTTGTTGAGCTTCACCACGCTCGGACCATGATCTTTCTTACACATTATTGTCATATTTGATCTACTTTTCGTTGATCCAGAACTTCCAGTCTCCGTAAATTTCACAAATTTCATTGGTGGCTTATGTGGCGTTCTTCCTTTTTTATACAAAAAATTCAAAATATAGCGAATTTCTTCCTTATTTTTCCTCACTTTTGAACAATTGTTCCTTTTTCTAAACTTTCCCAAATTTTATTATTTTTTTGGTTAAAAGCTTACCTTTCCAACACTATGTGGTGATATGAGTACAATGTGATTGTTGGCACTTGATACTGTGCTGACTAATCAATCAATCTATAGAGCTAGCCGTACTATGTTTTATATAATATGTATTATATATTATAATGCCCCGTTTATTCCTGTTGCTTGTTTCCGTGCTATCTTTCCCCAGCTCGTTAATTAGAGTAAATCCTGGTACATATATCAACATTTTCAGCTTTATTTGTGTTCAACTCCATTAAATCTCAGTAATACTGGATCCGATTCAGAAAACTGGTTAGGATTAATAAAACTTCCATAATCCATAAAGTTTGAAGTTGATGGAAAAGAATAATGGAAATCAATTAGCATAAGTTGTCTCATTGCCCTGTTAACCAAGCCATCCCAAGAGTTTATATTCATTGTAATCATATATTAGGCAATGGTTTTCAGTGTCAATTCATAATTCTTCTTATTCTAACTCTCACAAGGAGAACCAATTAAAGTGCCATATGCATCATTGGGATTAGCAGAGAATATCCACCTATCTTGAACAGGTGCGAGTTGTTTTAAATATGATCGGTATATAACCAAAGTCATTACTTAGAAGCCTTATCTCTCTATTTAACTGATTATCAGGTAAAAATAATATTGAGTGACGTGTGAGTTGTGTTGGCGGTTCAGATCCTCCCAGTTGAAAAGGTTGGTCACATCCCTCAATTGTGGCAAATGTATACTTTGAATAAACAAACATAAAAAACGCATACACATATAGAACAAGAAAAGAGGTTGGAGTCATGTGTAGAAGTTCACGCAAGTGAGGAAAGTTCTTTGATCGCCATTCACTTGGGAGTGGCCAGAAACGATTCTTTTACATATGACTCAAGCAGCTGACGATTTCCGGTCCTTGACCAAGTATCCTCTGGGTAGCCTAAGAACATCCGTTTGAAGGCGAGCTAAAGTGAGAAGGCGAAACATTCCCTGTACCCGCCACGTAAAAAAACCAACCCAATGACAACGCAACAACAGCCTCGGATGAGAGACCCCACTTTTGATAACGACCATGGCAAACGAAATGACGACTACGAATTGAGGGCATGCATCTGGAATGCCGGTCGCTTAATTGGGAAGGTGCCGCTGCCCAGCTGGTTGGTTCTCGTGAAAATAAAGGCTGACATCACCGCCGTCCAAGAAATGCGATGGACGGGACAAGGACAGAGACGAGTAGGTCCTTGTGGCATTTACTACAGTGGCCATATAAAGGAGCGCAAGTTTGGTGTGGGATTCGTGGTGGGAGAGAGACTCCTTCGCCGAGTACTATCATTCACTCCGGCGAATGAACGTCTAGCCACAATCCGCATCAAAGCGAGGTTCTTCAACATATCGCTGATTTGCGCCCACACCCGGCGGAACAGAAGGACGATGTGACCAAACATGCCTTTTATTAGCGCTGGGAACGCACTTATGGGAGCTGCCCCTGCCACGATGTCAAAATCGTGCTTGGCGACTTTAACGCCAGGGTGGGCAAAGAAGGTATCTTTGGCACTACGGTCGGTAAATCCAGCCTCTACGACAAAACATCCCCAAATGGGTTGAGGCTGGTTGACTTCGCCGGGGCCCGAAAAATGGTTATCTGTAGTACTACATTGCAGCATAAGAAGATACATCAAGCTACCCGGCTGTCGCCGGATCGAGAAGCCACCATCCAGATCACTCATGTTATGATAGACGGAAGACACGTCTCTAGTGTTTTAGACGTGCGTATGCTCCGAGGTCCTAATATCGACTCGGACCACTATTTTGTTGCAGCCAAGACTGGCACCCGCCTCTGTGCAGCTAAAAGCGAACGTCAACAAACACAAGGGAGGTTCGACGTCTAGAAGCTGCAATCACAACAGACAGCCGAACGATTTCCTACTCGGCTTGCACTCCTGCTCTCTGAGAGCACTCGTCAACAACTCGGTATAAGGGAACTGTGGGACGACATTTTAAACTCCTTACGTACAGCTACAACCGAAACCATTGGTTTTCGGAAAGTACAAAAGAACAGCTGGTACGACGAGGAGTGCCGTGTCGCAGCGGAGAGAAAACAGGATGCCTGCCTCGCAACGTTACGATCGACCACAACACGTGCGGGATGGGATAGATACCGAGAGTTGAAGAGGGAAGCGAGACGCATTTGCAGACAGAAAGAGAAAGAGGCCGAAATGCGTGAGTACGAAGAGCTTGATAAGCTGGCCGACAGGGGTAATGCTCGAAAACTCTACGAAAAAATGCGGCGGCTTACAGAAGGTTTCAAGACCGGAGCATACTCTTGTAGGATCCCCAAAGGTGATCTAGTCACCGATGTCCAGAGCATACTTAAATTATGGAGGGAACACTTCTCTAGTCTGCTGAATGCCAGTGAACGCACAATGCCAGGAGAAGGCGAATCCGATTCCCCAATTGATGACGATGGAGCAGACGTTCCATTGCCCGATCAGGAAGAAGTTTGAATAGCAATTGCGCGCCTGAAAAACAACAAAGTGGCGGTGCCGATGGATTGCCGG